TGTAGCGAGGTGGGTGTCGGTCTCTTCTCCCAAGTAACAAGCGATAGGATGAGAGGAAACGGCCTCAAGTTGCGCCAGGGGAGGTTTAGATTGGATATTAGGAAAAATTTCTTCACCAAAAGGGTTGTCAAGCATTGGAACAGGCCACCCAGGGCAGTGGCTGAGTCACCATCCCTGGAGGTATTTTACAAGACATGTAGACGTGGCGCTTAGGGACATGGTTTCGTGGTGGACTTGGCAGTGCTAGGTTAATGGTTGGACTTGATGATCTTAAGGGTCTTTTCCAACCTAAACGATTCTATGATACTAAAAAAAATGTGCATTAAGAATCACGTAAGATACTATTCTCCAACTGGGTAACTTACCATCTTTGTTCAGCCATTGCTTTCTTTGTCTGTAGAGGAGAAGTTTATTGTGGACATATGGCAAGAGAAACTTGACACACCAGCTCTCCACACCAAGCTTGTTTTCTACCAGGACAATAGGGCTCCGGTTATACCTGGCTTCAGGGCAGGGTATTAATCCAATTTCATCTCTTAAAAAACAGAAAGAAATATAATCAAACTTATTTCCAGTAGATGTCAATTATTTTTCCCAATAAAGCAGGCTGGCAATGCTTCCCACCCAGTCAGCCCATCATCTTTTTCCAAGTTTTTACTGAAATCTGTAGTCATTATCCTGAATTCACCTTCTTGAGTCTTGCTGGACCGCAGGTACGATAAAATGCATTTTCAGAAAGGCATCCTCTGCAAAACTCATGCAGTATATTAACTTTGCAAATGATTCAAACATGTTTTAAGGCATGAATAAAGATTTAACTTGAGCAAAAAAAGTAAATGTATTTCACCTCTGTACAATTTATTCACACACAATATAAAAGCCAGCTGTGGTTTTGAGTTAAGAGCCACTACAAAAATTTTGTGTTTGTTCCCCAATGCTGTAGTGATAGAAAACCAGAAATATTTAAACACTTGCTGAAGACTCTGGAAGTAATAGCCATGATTAGATGAGGCAGAATGAATTCAAAATCCTTTAAATGTTCTCTAGGAAGATTCCTTTTTGTGATTATGGCTCTTCTCACCTTAAGATTATCGGGAAAGTTTTATTAGATTTTCCAAAAGATCCTAAATGAGGAAGGTCCCTTTTTTTGTATTTTTAGATTATCACCTAAGCAGTTTAATTCAGCTGAATTAAATCAGTACCCCTAGCTTTGTGATGGAGATGCGATAGAGCTGTAACAACTGCTACTGCAAGGGAAACAAAACACATTGAGCAGTACAGGCACCTGACTGACCCAAAGCTACCCAGGTGTGCCCTTCAGCAGCGTGACCAGGTGCTCTGAAACCAAAGATCACACAGAAGAAAATCACATAGACAGCAATGTGTGCCTTTCCACATGTACATTTCCACGTGTCCCATTTTTCCTTCTCCTGTGCAAGGCAGTCTGCTGAACAGGGGGAAGATCTCAGACACAGAGGCCAGCCTGATTAAACAGCAACTTTCTATGACAGGCTTTTAATCAAGCCTTTAAAAAAATAGTGATGGCCACAAAAATTCATACCAGCAAACAAAGCAGAAGACACTCAGCTGTTTAGTTTCAAAGGGCCATACCATATTTTACTTTTTCCTCAGCTTTCTCTAGTGTGTAGGGATTTTGGAAGAGTAGCTTTAACAGCTTCTTAAAAACAAACACAGGTTGTCAAGGATTCACACTTGTTTGGACAGAAAGCAACATTATTTTATACTTTCCATTATGTATGATTTCTCCACCAACTCCTGTTTAGTGGAAAATTTTATTGCTGAGGAGGGAGATCCTCAGATCTCAGGCAGGGAAAAAAAGATTTCTTGTGATCTTAGATAGAAAGCGAATTCTCCACCTTAAATTTTCTCAATACAAGGTCCACAGATACACTCCAAGTGTCAACAGCACAACCTCAACTCAATTATCTTAAACTAATTTTGTTACTGGACAATCTGAGTGTACCTATTTAGTTCTGTGTCCTCACTGGATTATTAGTAAAGCAATCAAAAGTGACACCATTGTAAGGGACGAGGCCCACCTGGCTGTGCTGTGAGCACAGACAATGCCCCAGGGAAAGCTCCAGAAGCCAGCCACGGGGAGGGGCCCGGTGTCACTCTCCTTGACTGAGTAATGTCTCAACCACTCCTGGAGCTGGGGTAAGAGAAGACTCTAGAAACCTTGGGCTGGACCCAATAAATAGGGGCGCACGTGAGCCTCCTGGGGGCACTCTCCACACCGACACCCCGCCGTTGGCAGGTCCGATGCTGGATCCAGGGTTGG